GTATGGCAGCCTGCGTGCCCCTGTGGGACAGTCAGGTTGTTGGAGGCTGGCTTAAGATACATCACCTCTGACCGGGGCGAGCTGAGGGGCAGACGGGTTTGGTAGTCGAAGTACATGGGGGAGGTGGCCAGGGAGGGACTGCTCACCACGTTCATGACGTTCATGGCGTTCCTCTCCTCCACCTCGCTCTGCACCAGCATGATATCGTTTTTGTTGATTTTCTTCTTCTTGCCCTTCCCCCCGCCTAGCTGTGGGTGGCTGTACTCGGCGATGCGGCAGTTGTAAGTGCGAATCTCCTTGTTTTCGCGTTTGCACTTGACAGCTATGGTGATCATGGCCGCTAGGAGGATGATGGAAATCGTGCTCAGAGTCACTATGAGAGGCAGCGACATGTCCCAGTGGTGCTGCTCACCATTCACTCGTGGTACTCCCTCAGGCAGAGAGCCACTCACTGAACGAATGATGAGTTTGGCCACCGCGGACAGGGTGGGCTTGCCATGATCAGTCACCTTCACTACTAGCTCCACCACGGGGGTCACATCCTCCCAGAAGGGGTGCAGCGTGCGGATTTCGCCGCTGGATGGGTCGATCTCAAACAGGTGGTCGTCGTTCCCATCCACAATCTCATACGTGAGGCGTCCACTCTCTCCAAAGTCGCTGTCCAGGGCGCGCACGGTGCTTACCAGGTAGCCCAGGCCGGCGTTTCTCGGGACCTGCAGCTCAGCTGTGTCGTTCTGTAGAGTGGGGAGCACAATCACTGGAGCGTTGTCATTCACGTCTAACACAGTCACCCTCACCGTGGCGTTACTCTCCAAGTGCGCTGGCGCCCCCGAGTCCTTAGCCAACACCTTGAACTCAAAAGCCTTCGTTTGTTCATAGTTAAAGGAGCGCAGGGCGTATATGGCTCCGTTAGTGGGGTTCACGGACACATAGGTGTAGATGGACACGTCGCCAATGTGCGAGGGAAGAATGGAGTAGGACACTGTCCCATTTTGGCCGAGGTCGGGATCTTGAGCAAGCACTGAACCGAGGTATTCTCCCGGAATGTTGTTCTCATGGACTTGAAGAACATATAGCCCTTTGGTGAAGCGAGGCGGGTTGTCATTCTCATCCAGTATCTTGACAGCGAACGACTTGGTGGAGTTGAGTGGAGGGGAGCCCCCGTCCCGGGCCACAATTGTCACGTTGTACTCGTCCTGTGTCTCGCGGTCCAGCGGACGGTCAGTAACCACCGTGTAGAAGTTGTCATAGTTCTCTTCAAGCTTGAAGGGGACGGAGCCGGGTCCCCCCAGGCCACCTCCACCGCCAGTCCCTCCTCCACCCAGTACCCGACACTGAAGCTGCCCATTCTTGCCTGAGTCTCGGTCAGTGACCCGAACCAGGGCGATGACTGTGCCAGGCGGGGCGGCCTCGCTCAGCGCCCCCTGGCGCACGGAGACGAAACCAATGGACGGCGCGTTGTCGTTGCGGTCTATAAGCTTGACTGTGACCTTGCAGTGGGCTGGAATTGGGTTAGGTCCTAGGTCTCTGGCCTGCACGTCGATCTCCAACATGCCATTCTCCTCATAGTCCAAGTTACCCTTAACGCGGATCAGGCCAGTTTTGGGATCAATGGAGAAGAGCTCCCGCACGCGGTCGGGCATATAGCTGCTGAAGGAGTAGAGCACTTCCCCATTGGGACCTTCATCAGCATCGGTGGCGTTCAGATCAATGACCACTGTGCCCAGGGGTGCGTTCTCGGGCAGTTCCACCAAGTATGACGGAGCCTCGAAGACTGGACTGTTGTCATTGGAATCGACCACCTTCACATTGATCTGCACCGTGGCGGAGCGAGGAGGCTCACCGCCATCCAGGGCTGTCAGCACCAGAGTGTGATGGTTCTGCAGTTCGTGGTCCAGTGCTTTTTGGATGACCAGCTCAGGGAACTTGGTACCGTCGCCGCGGGACTTGACGTCCAGTGCAAAGAGGCCGTGATCATCGCGGGTGAGCAGATAGGTGCGGAGCCCGTTCTCGCCAGCGTCTGGGTCGTGTGCGCTAGTAAGGGGGAAGCGGGTGCCGGGTGCCGCGTTCTCTGAGATGTCCATTTCGATCTGATCCGAGGGGAAAGAGGGAGCGTTGTCATTGATGTCCTGTATCTCTACCTTGATCATGCAGATCTCCTTGTCATTAGCGAACACCTCTAGGGATAGCTGGCACTTGGCATTGTGGCGGCACAAGGACTCACGGTCGATGCGCTGCTTGGTGTAGAGGAGCCCGCTGTCGGCGTCCACGTCCAGCAGGTGCGGTGCGGAGTTCTCCAGCACCCGGTAGCTGCCCGACTTGCTTCGCCCGCTGCCGCTACCGCGCTCAGCCGACGGAAGCCCTGGTTGCAGCCGGGCATCCTTGCCTATGTTGCCTATTACCGTGCCAGCCCCTTGCTCCTCTGGCACTGAGTAGTTGAGGTTTTTGAGTGTCAGGGCAGGGGCCCACAGGAGAAAGCAGCAACAGATGGAAAGGTACATCCCAGACCGGTGGGGTGGGAGCAGGAGCAGCCGGACTGGAGGTGCGAGCTGGTGGGTGCGCGCCAGTCTGGAACCGGGGCGGAGCGTCAGAGCTCAGAGCGAGCCACAAGTCTGTGAGTCCTTCCTTCCCTCCGCACCCGGGCTGCGGCACCAGTCAGTCTCTCCTTATTCCGCTCAAGTTGCCCGAACCTGTTGATCTACAGCATTCGCACTGGGTGAGAAGCAGCCGCGCAGGGAAGCTGCAGCAGCTCGGAGAAGGCGGCGGCTCCCTGCGGCTGAGGGCGAGCCCAAGGCTTTGTCTCTTCCGCCTGGACTTCAGATGGCTCAAACTTGCGCGATGAGGCTGGCGATAAGAAGGAAATAGAGTCTGGGAGAGATGATAATGAGCTGAAGAATTGGTGGGTTTTCCTCGCTCCCGCTAGGCGCTGCAAAATCCACTCCCTCCGGCAGCCTACAGAATACTCTTCGAATCGGGTGGGGGAGGGCTTGGGGAGGTGTGTCTCCAGGCAGATCGGAAAGTGGAATCCTTAGTTACTCGTATTCGGTGATGAAATGGATGGGAATGAGTAGGGACGAAGAAAAGAGTCACAGATACATATGTGAGGCTTCCCTGGAACACGGAGAAATGTCTGCTCGTTATGCAGGATGCTCGGCTTTCAGGCAGTGTATTGCTGCATTTAAAGATCTAATCTTGCATTGCTGGCTTAGGCAGCGGCGGCGGCAGCGGACTGCATCTCCGAGCCAAGTCTTTTTTTCTTTTCTTTTTTTTCTTTCTCTCCTTTCCGAGCAGCCAAAGGGAGGGGAGGAAATGCAGCGCAAAAAAACCCCTAGTGTCCCGATTTGTAGTTTCCTCCCCCTACCAGGCTCCTCCCTCTCTTCTTCGGAGAAGGCTCTCCCCCCAAATCAAAAAAGCCACAGCCTGATCAGCATTTGCGCTGAGAGCCTATTGGGAGGAGAAAATATAGAGATCTATCTCCGCCTCGGTTCGTAGAACACTCTGGTGTATCTACGCCAAGCCAAGCCGGGAGCCGCCACTACCATCCCATCCTCTTCCTGCAAACAAGGACTTCTCTCCACGCAGTTTAATTCCAGTTTGCTTCTCTTGCCAGGCGAAAGGAAATCAACAGGCAACTCATGGTTAGACGTGCAGATTTGAAGGGGGAGGGGAGGGCAGCACGGAAAGGAGGGGGAAGCCACCCTCCCAGTCCTAGCACACACACTCGCCCTGTCTCTCGCTAGAAGGGAAACAGTCTCTGCATTCACAGGGCTGGGCTGTCAAGTGGCTCTTTTCTTTCTATTCAGCATCTCCTTCCAGTGGCCCAGCCTCCCAGTCCTTTTCATCTAGCAAGGAAAACCTTGGCGAGGAAAAAGAGTGGTGAATATTTGAAGAAAATAAAGTCCAGGCTTTCTCCCCCTTGTTCTTCTTACTGTTCTGATTTTAAACAGGAGGAGTAGGGTGGATGGAAAGCATCAAGGTCTGGCGTGTTGCAATTCTGCAGCCTGGCTCTCACGGTCTCTCGTCGACTTGGGGAGGGAAGAGGGCTAGGAGCTGCGGCCACCAGGGTTCTGCCAGGGCGCCCACCCGGGGAAACTACCTCCACCACCCAGGGGAGGTTAGGCACAGCTTGATCTACACATCATTTCTGCTTCTCCAGGCGCCTGGGTCTACGGGAATGACACATCCAGAAATGCAGGTGCTCTGATCTGCGGGATGAGTCAGAAGCAGCGGAACGAATCGTATTCACTCTCCCCTGACGGTCCTCCCTTCACAGACATTAGTTGCGGCTTCTTCCTAACGCTTTCTCTGACTCACTCAATAGGAAAAAAAAATTCAAAAAAAAAAAAAAAAAGCTGGGTTCATGGAGAGGGGGCAGAAAGCGAGAAAAAGAGAGTGGGGGAGGAAGGCAAAGCTGAAGCCAGCAGCACTTTTACTCTACCTCTTTCGGCCGGAGTCCGAGGCTCTGCAAAACAAGGCGTCTGCTTTGCTTACGAAATATTGATTTGTTTATTTTTTTCAAAAAAAAAAGAAAGAAAACCTTTCCACTTGGCTAGGCGTGAGATGTCCCCAGATCTCTCAGTCTTAGGAGGGGGGAAATTGCACGTTTCCAGGAATGATTCACAGCTTAGCCCAAGATCACAGTTCAAGATTTTCCTCCCAAGTGGTCTCTATTCACAAAGTCCAGCATCGGTGTGCATAGCTAATTGTGCAGTCTGTTGTGGAGGGTTTTTTTTCTTTTTTCTTTTAAAAAATTCCTCCTTATTTATTTTTTTTTCTGTCACGGGTGGTCTCTTTCAGTCTGGTGCCTGTCAGAATCACCCCAAAGCCTGAGAAAGCCGTGCAGATCTCAAACCGAATAAATCCATCTCCGCCAGCCCAGGCGCGGAGGAAATGGAAGGTGGAAAATTCAATTCAACAGTTGGAGTAGCGTCTCCGGGCTGCCCTCCGCCGCTGCGGCAGCCGCCGGGCTCGCAGTCCGGATTCTCTCCCCAGCGTCTCTTGCTGACTGACTCTATTCACCTCACGCCGCCGCTTAAACATTGATACTGATTCTCGGCCAGCCAATCCGCGTGGGGATCCAGGCCCTGCCCTCTCGGCCCACGCCCAATGGGAGGTGGAGAAACGGGCGAGGGGGCGGGGCCAGCAGCCCCAGCGCTTTAGAGTCATTGACGAGCCGAGTCCGACCCGAGAGCTATGCAGCCAGGGGAGCCCGCGCTCGGTCACGGCGCCCGGGAACCGAGCCGTGGCTCGTCGGGGTCCTCGGCTCCAGGGCGAGGCAGCTGGCCTGTCTTTCTCTAGAGAGAGAGAGACAAAAAGTTTGACGGCGGCTCGATTTTATTTGGGGATCGGAAGGCACGGGCCAGGCTTGAGAACCACGGCATACTTTGGACAGTGAGGGAGCTGCGGTCTTCCTGGTGCATTTCTGTTCACACACATTCGAACTCACGTCGCCAGCTCACACACACGCGCGCACACACACTCACACGCACAGACACACACACACACAGACTGAGGGAGTTGCAGATTTCCTGGCTTCTCGTGCACTGAAGGGGGTGCCGAGTGTGTGTGTGCGCACGCGCGTGTGCGGCTGTGTGTGTGTGTGTGTGTGTGTGTGTGTGTGTGTACGTACACTTCAGTGAGTGCCTGTGAAGTCCAGTGCTGGAGAGCCTACTGTGCCAGCTACCTAGGGAGGGAGCAAACACGCCGCAAGCAACAGCAATCAATATGTAACTTTCCTCATCCTCAGAGAAATCCCCGCTGTCCCCAGGCACCCATGCAAGGAAAGTCACTTGATTATGAAAGTGTTTCAGAAGAAAAGCCGACGCCGGTGAGGAGACAGGCAGTGCCTCCTCGGAGGAAAAAGCCTCTCTTAAGACATGTTTTGCAGCTTCATGAAACTGGAATCTGCTGAATAGTATTTGGGGCTCTACCCTTCAGCCATCTCCTATCATAATCCACATTCAGTGCACTCCAGCATCCCTCGACACCCAATAGCTTTATTGTCTGGTTCACCTCTGTTCACTTTACTAAACTTCCAAATAGCAATATTATATTTTTCCAAACTAAGTAGTCATTGATAATATTTACAAAATCTCTGTGTATAAAAGCTGAACTGTTAGGCAAGGACTCACATCAGTAGGAGATCAATGATTCAAAGATTCCTGTTCTGTAAGTATAAACACACACACACACACACACACACACACACACACACACACACACACACCTGGCTCTAAATCCCTAGTCTCCACCAACCCAACAGTCGCCAAACACGCTTTTGCCTAAGCGTCTATCACAAATGTCCACAAGTCAAGACCGGTTGCCTGTGATCTAGCAGTCTGCAAAGAGGAAACTGATTCATTGAAATCGAGAAGGTGAGTGTTTTGATTGCTAGAGTATTGATTGTAATTCATAAATACTGAAGTTAAGTTGCCATTTATAAATTGTGAATGACTAACGTGCAAGTCTGTAACATGAATCATTCAGGATTTCAAAGAAAATCAAATCCAGACTAGTTACAAGAAAGTTCTAGAGCTGTTTTGGAGATAATTGCTTAAAGATTCAGGTAGAGGCGCTATTAATTTCCCGGAGCTTCAAGGAGATAACCTATACTCTGATTTTGCAGTCTGGTCTCTTTCCAAATTCACCACTCCCTAGGGAGACCAATAGCTCAAAAATTCAAAGAGAAGCTCTTTTTTTTTGTGAGACCTTCCAATTCTAAAATGCTCCTGTCTTGTCCTTTCTAAATAGGTATGTATATGTTTTTACTAAACAGGGGCCTCAACCTTGCCAAAACCTAGGCTTCTTTCCCTAGCGGTCTTTTAACCACCTAGCCCTGTACAGCCCAACTTTTATGTCTCTGGGGTTAAGTGATGTGGGTCGAAAGCACATACTTTGGAATTTGAGGCTTCAGTTCTCTAAAAGCAGAACTACCTTAAAGAGTAGTGATCACACATTCAGACATTCACCTATCAATCTTTATTTTTACTTCTGCCTCCCCTCGCTCTGGCCTGTCCTAAGGATAAACACCAGAGCTTCCCAAAGCTAAAGAAGAATTGTAACTCTTAGCTGTGTCCTCAGGTACATTGTGACTTACCCTTTCAAAATGACCATTCTAAAATCATTTTTAATTATATAGAAATGAATTTCACTATTAACACAAAAACAAAACTATAAAAACTATCAAGGAAGGTTATTATGGTGTATCGATTAGGTTTAATTTAACATAAATCTGTGCATTTGAAGGAGGACTAGAAACACAATGCCTAAGTACTTCATGAGGTGAAAAATATATCCTCAGAAACATACCTCTGCTGCCATACCCCTTGGGAGTAATTATGCCACACCTCCCCCTAGTGTTTGCTGTAAGAACTACCTGCATATGGTGAATGCCTTAGGGCATCTGCCAAGAAAAAAAGAAACACAGGAAGCATGTTATGTTTCATGTACCTCTAGAATTGAACATGGTTATTGAATACTGCTCGTTATCTGACTTTTATCTTTATTATCTATAACTTATTTCTAAACCGGAAATGGGACTGACTGAGCCCTCACTTCCAGTTCGGCTTGGTTTTGATCCTTTGTGATGATCACATTTAACTTAAAATTTTTTTTCATGGTTTTCAGAGTTTATCTTTTTCCTTCCCTCATGTTTATTTTGTGTTCACAGCATGCTTATTTAAGATTTTTAATGAACTGTTCTTGAAATAGTGATCTCAATTAGGAAAAAAGAGATGAATTAACATGTCATATATGGCACCATGATAAGGAGTTTAGGAGACAATAATGATGTCTACATAGCAAAACAATATCAGATTTCTTAAGAATAGCTTAGTTGATAACCACTATTTGTAATTTCAAACCAGATTGAGTTCTAAACAAATGATTCATCTTCTGTCTTGAAATGCACATACACTGACCATCTAAAGATCTTGTGTGCTCCTTTAGAGTCTATGGGAGAGTGTGCAAATGACTTAACATTTGATTAATCAACAAAAACAGTGTAGGGAAGTTGAGTGTAAAGGTACATCAAATGATGTGTTGGAATGATTTCAAATAGAAGTATCACATGTTGATTTTACAGACTAGCAAAGAGTAGCAAATTCTGCTATGTCATTCAGTATTGACTTCACAGTATTAATGGAAAAACCTTAAAATACAACTTCGTGAGATTTTGTACAATTTATTTAATTTTGGCTCAGAGACACTGTTTAAAAATGCATATTTATGTGCTAAAGATATTTATGTTCAATAGTTTGTTGCTGTTATAGCAGTTTCCTGTTACTTATCCTGTTTTGCTATAATTTTCAGTTTAATACTATATATCTCTTAAGAAGAAAAGAAAGGTGCTACTTTCTATGCATCCACTATTGACATGAATAAAAATTACTTTTTACATTTTTGTCATTATCATTTCACTATCTGGTTTCTTTCATAATGTAGCATGTCATCAGACAAGTATTATTTAGAAGAAATTTTAAATATGGAATTTTTACTGACTGAACCATATTACTTAATAGCAGTATTTCATAATTTTAATAAAAAGTAGACAAAATCTTATATGTACAAAACATTTCAAACTAAATCTAATAGCAGAAGGTTCAGGTATTAGAAAACCAAACCCCAATCAAATTTAAATTCTCAAAAAAATGAAGTATTGCATCTTTTGCTAGTATCCCTCATCTTTTAAAGATATGCATGCCTCCCATCTTGTATTGTTTTCGAGTGTTTGCTGACTTTTAACTACTGATGAACTGACACTACTCAGTGTCTTACTCCTTGGTGATGAATATGAATTGAAATAAACAATGTAAAGTAACTGTAATTTTTGCACTTTAGATGAAATGCTTTATACTTTAAAAGAATTCTCTCATATATAATGAATCCTAAAGGTGTAAGAAACTTACATAAAATACTAATACAAATTAAATATAAGTTTTGTCTATTTTTATTATAATTATGAAATACTGCTATTAAGTAATATGGGTCAGTCAGTAAAAATTCCATATTTAAAATTTCTTCTAAATAATACTTGTGTGATGGCATGCTTCAGTATGAAAGAATACTCAGATATCTGTGCCCTCCTCACTGCAGCATGTTAACAATGTGGCTAGAGAGTTAAGCCAATAAAGACTTGCAAACTGAAGCTGTGAGGAAATAATTCTCACAATGAATGAAGCAAGCATGCAATTGACATGTGTACATTTTTCAATAAATTTAAAATTTGCAAGTCAGAAGAAAATGCTGATAAATTAACAATCAACAATCGAGTAGGGAACTCAGGGAAAATATTCTGAATTGCAGTGGCTAGTTCAGAGTTTAAAGTGAGAATTCTCTGTTTAACAATTATGATTAAATGTTACTGAATATAATGTCTTTTTTTCTTCATGTGTGTCTGCATGTGTTCAAGGTCTGCATGTGTGTATATGTGCGTGTGACTGTGCATGTGAGGATGTAGGTACATATGTGTTAACAGATAAGCTGAACCACCCTTAGAATGTATATTAACATATGAATGTATTTGATGTGGAGCAATCCTAAATTTTTTTATTCCATATTAAAGATATTAATGTGTATAATGACGAGGATCAGGTTAAGTTCCATATGCTAACATTTAGCATTAACATAAAAGTAGCATTACTTTCTTCTCAATAAATTCCCAACAGCATATCTTTGTCCTTTTCTGTCTTGCCGGCCAAAAAGAACAAGATACATTAATCCCATAATCTCAACACTCCTGCCCCATAAGAAGTTAAATACTGGCTCCCCCTTGTGGTCACTCTGAGAGACATTCGGGTACTTGGAAAATTTGCTGCCTAGGAAAATTAGAGTTGTTTAATATTGGTATATTACGCTTTAAAATGCAGAGCTTTTGAGTGAAATAGTTAATTTATAGATGTGACTGCTGGATCATTAAATTGGTTGACACTGAGAAAAAAAGATATTATGATTTCACGCACTGCGCAACAATCTTACTATTTTTTTAGAATTAAACATGTTAGGGCAGTTCTGACTGAAGCTGGGAAATCAGCCCTTGGAAGCAACCCGGGAAATTCAATTCAGTAGGTGGCACTCTTTCCTCAGAGTCAGTTTTACGGTGGTGACCTGAAAAGATGTTACAAAACGCTGTGTCACAGAAAGGAGGTCCTGCCTCGCAGGTGAGGCCGGCACTAGATGCTTGTGATCAGTAATGGTGCTAACGGCTCACACATTTCTCTCCATTATTCTGAGACATTCAACCTGCTTGTTAAACAGCCATCATACAGAGATCAATGAGAAGAATATGCTACAAGTAGCTGAGCTCTATGGAAAACAAATAAGTGTTCTACAAATCCTCTGCATTTTAATTACCGTTACAATCATTAACCTTCCCAAATTCCTGTGACAAGGTCCTACTCAGGTAATTATGGCCTCCTTATGTAAATTCCAATTTTAGTGAGCTATGCATATTATTTTCTTTCATCTTTTAAAAGGCTAGAAAGATTTCAGTTGCAAACCAAGTGCTGTCAAACAGCTGCTGTCTGTAACTCTGAACATAGCACACTCTTGCTTTACATGAAGTACCTCTGTTGAGCCTTCTCCCTGTTGAAAAGAAAGTCCACAATGAGGAAAATACTCCTTGGGTTTACCTGAGTGTCATATTTGAAATCATGTTTAAAAAAAGAAATCAAAGCATTGAAATATCAATAAAAATCACTGAGGTTAAATCTATTTTTTGGAGCCTCTGGACTCAGAGGCTTCAAGATTGTCGACACCTTTCTGAATGAGAAAAGCTGATGATATCCAGGGAAGAGGCCATGGACCATCTACAAATTACCCATCATTACCCATCCTATAGAAATGGAATGACCTCCAATTTTAACTAAGCCCTGAAGATTTTATGTCCAAATTTGATTTAAAAAATTAGGGAGGTATCTTTATGTGTTATACAAAATGGTGTTCAGAAGCGTGATACGCCATTTGTAAATATAGTCATTATAGTAAATATAATAAAAATATTTATACGTTTGAGTGTAAACATATTAAAGAAAGCTATATTGGCAATTCTTCTCAAAACGATAAAGATTAAATTTAGAAATATATTGACTATAGTTAGATGAGCCTGGGTGATCTATTTTCCATTTCCTGAAGGTACAGGAATCAGAGAAGGCCTTAAAAATGAAAGATGTAAGGAAAATAACATTTATTGCACAGCTCTGGCATTTGTACAAATATGAATTAACAATCTCTTGAAAGCTTATCAATAAGAGCAATGGTAATTAAACAATTTTGTGACAAACACCCATTCAAGAATCCACAGACTGCTACAGAACCCTTTCCTAATTTATTATTGGTGGAGATCTCTAATTGATATTGTACAGATATCTTCACAAACGCTAAAAGCCACATATACTTGATGAACATACTCATTATATGCAAACATTGCTACAGTTTTGGGAAGTTATCTAAGCCTATCTGTACATTAGGCATGCTATCGTATACCTATCATTCTGTCACTCAGGAGGCTGAGGCAGAAAGTCTGCAATGACTTTTACAGCATGGCCAGTGTTGGCTACCCAGTAAGACATGGTCTCAAATCAATTGGCAGTAAGTAAGTAAATAAAAAGAATCTTTGCTGTATCAAAGTCTTAATAGAAGAAGATATGTATACGGCATACTACTAGGCAAAGCATATATCAAGTATTAAAATTTTGGTTTTTATTTTCACATGTTTAGAACCAGAAATTTGCTCAGCAGTAGAAAATATATTTGATTAGAAGCCATGTGACACAAGTGAGTGGCATAACTGCTTGCCTAGCCCACAGGTTTTTCACTTTCGTAGTCAGGGCTTCTAGCTATAGCAGCACGTCCGTTGAAAAAATGGAGATCATTCTTCCTCACACAGGTGAAACAAGGATTGAATAATTCTGTCGAGTTAGTGAAGAAGGGCTCTGCTAACTAGTGTGCACAGGAAACAGTATAATCAATTGTGAAAATTTATAAGTTTATTTCATGTTTCACCATTTGAACAAATGAAGCGGGGCAATATTCTAAAATTTGTAACTAGACTCTTGTATCATGGACATGTCCAGGAATCAACAGAGTGCATGAAAACTCAATGTATACATTTTGTAGGGGTTTGCATATGAAAACACATTTAAAATATTATCATACTGTGCCTAATTATTAAAATTATTTACCAAATTCTTCAGGAAAAAAATAAACGAATGGAAGTCATTTTAATACACAAAATCCAGATCAGTAGATTACGAAGCACTTTGCATTTTTGGAATAGGAAAAACCTAAACACTTGACTTTAAACCATTTATATGCAGAGAAAATGTATGTAACATCAAATAACATCCAAGACCTTCCCCTCATTTTAAACCGAATAGGTGACAATATAGTTATGATTTCTTTTTTTTTCTCATCTCACCTCTTCCTACTAAAACAAAGGAAAAGAAAATTGTCCATCACTATGTTAAGAAACATCAGTGCTTGAAGAGATGACAGTGATGTAAGATTATAGGTATAAAGAGTATAGATAGAGACATAGTTACCAAGTCTTTAATCACCAGAAACACTTCCTTGGGAAATAGAAGGGAGAAAGACTAGGGAAAATAGATATTAATCTCCATTGTAAAGATTAAAAAGAAAGTGGCTGGTGTTTTAGTAATAGGGTGGGTACATATTTTCCTGGTAGTTCTATGAAGTATGACAGAGGAGTGTATCTTCATTTTTGTTTAAAACTTACCAGATTCTGGTAAGGTGCTAACTTGTTCTGTGATGATAAAAACGTTACATGGATCATTTTAAAAAATATGTTTTGAAGGTCAGTTATTGGGGGATTAAAACATATTCTTTTATGAGGCAGAATTAAGAGAGCAATAGAAATAAATCTTTAAAAAAATAAAAGCAGTGTGGTGATTTAAATAAGATACTTCCCCCATTGGCTTAGGCATTTGAACACTGGGTCCCTTATTGGTGATGCTTTCTGTAGAGGTGGGACAGCCATAATGGAGAAAATATGTGGCTGGTGGTGGGGTTTGGAGTTCCAGGTAACTCTCTCTGCTGTATGCTTGTGGATAAAGATATGGTTTCTCAGCTCTGGAAACCTGACTTTTGCTGCCATGATTTCTCGTTATGATGGATTCCTTGTTCTGGAATTATAATCCAGAATATACTCATCTACAACTTGCCTTCCTCATGGTATTCATTTCCGAAAAAAAGAAAAATCATTCATATAGAAGCTGGTGCCAGGGAATCAACTGTTCTGCAAAAAAACAAAAAACAAAAAACAAAAAAACCAAAACAAAACAAACACAAACACAAAACAAAAAACAAGCAGAAAAAAAAAAAAGCAAAGCAAAACAAGAAGCTGACCATGCTAATTTTTGAGGAATGAGGAAGGGTCTAGCACTTTGGACTTGAAAAGTGGTTGGATGTTGTAAGGAGAGATTCCCGTGGCCTTCTAGTATGACTGTAGATGAAAGCAATGCTCTGAACAATGTTGGATATGGAAGTTCAGCTCGAAAGGCTTCATTAGCGACTGTACTAGAGGCCATTTGTGTGATATTTTGCGAAGAATCTGGCTGCTTTCTGTCCTTTCTAAAAACTTGTCTAAGGCTAAATTGAAAATTAGTGCACAGTTTTCCTCCCTTTTTGTGGACGACATGTAAAGTTAGCTTAATATTGAATCTATGTAATTTACTACTGATGATACTTACACAGGTCTATAATGAAAAGAGGAAACAGACAAAAAGAAACACAAATGTGTAGTATGTAAAGAGAAGAAACGCTAGGAACTTCAATGTTGAATCCTAGGCATGTGCTAAAAGAGAAGATGGTTAAGGGAATTAGCATAGGTATGGAGGAGCCTTTTACTCAGTACTGGAATGAAGGGAAGAGTGCCCTTACTGAAGAAACCCACTCCTGCCACCAATTTCTCTGATAAAACATGCAGCAAAACAAGACTGAAGAAAGGGGGGTTCGCCCACCAACAAAGAAACCCAGCAGGGAGCTTCTCAGGAAACTGAAGGCAGAAACTGTAGCAGAGGCCATAAAAAGAACTCAGTTTACTGGCCCAATCCCAGTGGCTTGTGCAGATTGCTTTTTTACAGCACAGATCACAAGGCCATGGCTGGTATCACTCACAGTGTGCTGGGCCATCCTACATCAACCACGAATGAAGAAAATGCACTCATACAGACCTGCTCAGGGGCCAATCTGATAGTGGCCATTACTCAGTTGTGGCTCACTCGTCTCAGGCATTTCCAGTTTGTCTAAAGTGAATAAAGTCTAACCACCACAAGTGATATTTCAGAATGATCCTACGGATAGCGAAGAAGTGGAATATGCATCTAGAGTTGATGAAAGAAGAGTAATGTAAGACAGAGCTTGACTCCCTTAATATAGGTGACAATGGTGTGGCTGGGATAATGTATGAGGCCAATGGCAGTGGGTCCAATATATAACGCTAATGCACAAACTGACTTAGTGGAACCCATTCTATATGGAAAGGAACCTTGCCCAGCCTAGACATAGGAGTGTGGGGGTGGGGAGGTACCCTGGTGCTGACTAAACTAGATGATGAGACAGAATTATTAGACTTCCTAGGGGAGGCCTTACCCTCCCTGTGGAGCAAATAGGAGGGGGGAGGAGTGGAAGGAGAGGATGTGAGGAATTGAGATTGGCATGTAAAAAATACGTGTAAAAAAATGTAAAACATCAATTCTACCAAGTTAGTACTATAGTAGGTGTAGTTCAATAGCAGAAAGAATAGGATAGCTTGATGTGGTTTGTTGACCAGAGAGGCTCCAAAAGGCCCTCAAACAAAACAGGTTCTTAAAAACCACCCTTGGTTTCTCAACATAACTAGATAGTAAATCACCATGGTGGAAAACAAAACAAAACAAACAAATAAGAAAACAAAACTTGAACTGAGCTGTATGCTTTCTCCCTGACAAGTAGATTTCATAGTCATGAAGGTGCAATGAGGGCTTCTGGGACAGAAAAAGTTCCAAGTTTTTTAGCCAACAATGAGTCTTATAAAACAAAATGCCAACCTTCCAGGAATGATGTGGTGACTCATGAAATAGTAGCATGAAAATTATAGGGTAGCCAAACATACTCGGATTGTGCTTGAAATCAGCTTCAAAAGAGAATTCATGACTCACACTGTAAACCTATTAAAAATTATTCCTTGTCAGGGAGGCTACAGGCCCTAGGAAGGAATGTAATACTCTTATATTGATAATTTGACATAGTTTTAAACAGGAACATGTGGAATAATTGTCTTCAGTTGTGTACACACTGGTGTTTCCATTAGTCTCAAATGGTTAATCCAAATCAGTGGTGATAAAAATAGTATGACTACTGTTGTTAAAATGTCTAAGTTTACCCAGTAACGAGACATGAACTGTGAGTCAACGGTCCCACGTGGAATTTTATTGGTAGACAGGGAAGGAAAAAAGGGGTGAGAGATAACTAATCCTTGCAGAGCTGAGAGAGAGAGAGAGAAAGAGAGAGAGAGAGAGAGAGAGAGAGAGAGAGAGAGAGAGAGAGAGAGAGAGAGAGAGAGAGAGAGAGAGAGAGAGAGAGAGAGAGAGATAAGATACCAGAGAGAAAGACAAGAGGAAGCGAGGAAGATGATAGTAAGAGAGAGTGTAAGCGGATTGGGGTCAGTCCTTTAAAGGGGTCCTTTGCACCTACGTGCAGACTGGTTCTCATGGAACTCTGGGCTGGTCAGAGTGCTGCCTGAGTACATTCTGCTAGGTAACAGGGCAGGCCAGCATAATGACTGAACCTTTCAATTGCACTTAATAATTCACAACTAATCACATAGTTCACAGCCAACCAAATCTTCATGAATCTGAGAAAGGGATTGGTTGCAGAAAGAATTGGGGAATGATAGAGACTTAAAAATAACAGAGGTAGCCTATAAGAATGATCAAAAAGTATTGTAATGTTCACGTGCTTTCTGCAAAGGAGAAGAAACAGGCAGATGAGAAGGGAAACCAATGCAGTGACAACTGTAGGCTTTTTATCACCAAAGTATGGAACTAAGTGACAAGAATTCTAAAGGCAGAAAAAGAGTAAGAAAACTGTGTAGCTATGAAAAACTAAACACCAGTGTTCTGATGAGAAATAAAGCATGTCCAGGCATGTGAACTACAGTAATTCATTGGATTTCAGATAAAATATGGAAACTAACATAGATATGCTCTTTTAATAATGGAATTTAAAGAACTCTGAAGGAAGTATACATTCTATTTCTAGGTGGACTCTACAGTGTTGCTTTGGGTGGTTCCTATTCTCTGGCCAAGGATCAAGATGAGATGCAGTTGACTGCATTTGTCCAAATTCCGAATGACCTATCCGCACCAGAAGAGGCTCCTATCATCTGCAGGATATGGGAGCTTTGTAGGCAGCATGGATGTGTGATGGGAAGAGCAAGACCACTTGAAATCTCAATCTCTTCTTGCTTCATTTGTGAGTACATTCTTAAGGTAAACCATGGAATAAGTCAATGTTCTTCTCTAACCCAGGAACTCTGTCACTTGGAGTCAATTTATTTTGTTGTGGGTAACATGCATTTTTCTTCATGATTCTCTCTAAAAAACACAACTGTGTTCTCACAATCAGAGAATGGGGTAGCCTTTTTAGAACCTTGGCTTGTACACTTAGGTCCTGTTTGTGGTTCTTCCTGTTCAAACATCAAAAGGATGACAATTACCTTTGTTCTGTCTGATTTGTCTGTTTTGTGTGGCCCTTTGTGACATTTTCTGAACAATTCCTTTGGGTAACATACACTAACTTATCTCCTACAAAATAGATTATGCTTCTAAATCCCTCATCCTAACAATGCTAAATACTTAATATAAAACTGTTAGCTCTTAAAAATTAAGAGAAGTAGAATTATCTGTAAAGAAAAAATAAAACTACCTTGAGTGGCCCTAAGAGCAATGATTAAGAGAAGATATTTAATTTCCTTAACAGGTAAGGTTTAAAACTAAGAGCAGGATAGATATGAGTCAATGTTGTTACTTAAATTCACTTATTGGTGACCAGAGAGTGAGGAGAGTTTTTCAACTGCCTTCTAGGCATCTGTGGTATCTTGGATGCTTAAACTAGAAAAATCTGTTCTCTCTCAAGACTGAAATCGATCTACTTCTGTTCCAAATGTCATTGACCTTAGGTACAAGAAAGTACTATGCTTTAAAAGTTCCCATTATGACTTTAAATCCATTTTAATAATGGGATAGTTCAAGACTTTAATCTTAGTTACAATCGAAACACTCATTTTTTTTTCCTTACACAATGTAGCATATGAGACTATTCCAGTGACTGGAATTTGGACACCCTTTAGGGATACGGACCATAGAGTCTATTTGCAAAATAATTGGATAAGAAATTTATATAACAGTTACATAAGGATATTTTACTTGTGTAGCAAAAAACTTAATACAATTACAACTAAATTTACATAAAATAATAAATGTTGAATACATTAAAATATTCTTAAAGCTTGGGCACATATAGCTGTACTTTGAAAAATAACACCAAACATATTTATTGATAAACAATAAATGCTTGTCTGAATGACAGTGTAGTGGGTGACTTCTCAATTATATCAGTTCATGTTAAATCATGCAAAAGAAACAGAATCACTTTTCTTCACCAAACCCTAAATTGTTTTTAAGCTGCTGCTTTTTATATAGACAATCTTTGCTTTTATTGTTGTTTGAGTTTTCTCTTCTAACCCCAGGCAATTATTTATTTCAATTATTTATTGAAATAGTTTGGATCTTCAAAATTATAGTACCTTAAGTAGCTGACTGCTTTTGCCTATTTCTCTTATTTCTCATAATTAGATGGAGAGTAAATAAACAATCACCTTGAGTAGAATAAAGAACTTATGATTTAGTATGTTGTAGTTAAACTGCCTATTTTATTTCTATAGGTACAACAAATTATTAAATACCTCATGAGTTACCTATGTACTCCAGTCAGATTAAAACCACAGTCAACAAAATAATATTTTTCTTGCTAAAGAGTGGTAGACCACAAAATTCATTGGCACAGGTGTCTTCACATTTGCCAAATTGGAAATAATCTGTCACATTTTTAACTTGGTTTCGTATACCTTCAACATAAGACCTGAACAAAGATGATTTTATGTGGCCCTGCAACACACATCTGTGGAATAATTAATAAATATATTCAACAGTATAATTAATAAATACATTATACAGTTATGATGCATAATAAAGTACCTGGATAACATTGGCACTCAAAATTGCTTTTCCCTTTTGAGATTATATTATAATTACAACATTTCCCCTTCACTTCCATCCCTCTAAAGGCTCCAATATACCTCACCTTCAAATTCATGACCTCTCACTTTTCATTATTTCTTGGTACATATTTTATGTATATTTTTTATAGTTCACTGGAAAAAAGGACTCAGGGATAAATATTAAGGAATACACCTGAGAAATCCACAGAGCAAATGAGACACAATCCTCGCTCTATACTTCCTAGATCCAACAGGGCACACAACCTTTTGACTCAGCCTGTTCCTTTCCTGTGTGCCTCTACTTCTCCTCTTAGTCAGCCAGAGACCTCAATATTCCATACTAGTCAGCTGAATGTGGACTTTGCCCTCTTAACCCAGATCAGCTCCATGGGGGTCTTGGAGCAATCAACTCAAACAAATCTCCATCATTTCCTCCTTTTTGTCTAAATAATAAAGAAGGGTTTTATTTTTATTTTTTATTTAAATTAGAAACAAACTTGCTTAACATGTCAATTCCAGCTCCCTCACCCTTCCCTCCTCCCCCACCCCCCCACCAATCTTCAAACTCCCCACCCCACTCCCCTCCACTCCCCAGGGAGGATGAGGCTTTCCACGGGGAATCTTCAAAGTCTGTCTTATCATCCCAGGCAGGGTCTACACCCTCCCCAATGTGTTCAGGATGAGAGAGCATCCCTCCATATGAAATGGGCTCCCAAACTCCATTTGTACACCAGGGCTAAATACTGATCTATCCAAGGCCCATAGATTGCTGAGTCCTCCTTACTGACACCCACAATCAGGGGGGGTCAGGATCAGTCCCATGCTGGCCTCTCAGTCAAAGATGGAAGCAGGAGAATGTCAGGAGTTGGGGCCCTGGGCAGCCCACACTCATGCACCTTAACTTCCCTTCCCCTGTAATGAGAATGTTAACTACCTTAAATGCCATCCTAGAACCTTCATCCAGTAGTTGATGGAAGCAGAAGCAGAGATCCACAGCTAAGCACTGAGGCAAGCTCCTGGAATCCAGTTGTAGAGAGGGAGGAGTGATGATGAAAGGGGCCAAGGTCATGCTGGGGAAACCCACAGAAACAGCTGACCTGATCAAGTGGAAGCTCATGGATTCCAGACTGATAGCTGGGGAACCAGCATAGGATGTAACCAGGCCCCCTGAAGGTGGGTGTCAGCTAGGAGGCCTGAGCAGTCTATAAGGTCTCTGGTAGTGGAACCCGTATTTATCCCTATTGCATGAATGGATTTAGGGAGAACATTCCCCATGAAGAGACACTCTCTTAGCCTAGATTCATGGGAGAGGGCCTAGGCCCTGACTTGACAGACTTTGATAATCCCTCATGGGAAACCTCACCCTCCTTGAGTAGTGGATGGGGAATGGGATGAGGGGGTCAGTAGGGTGGGGGACAGGAGGATGGGAGGGAGAAGGAACTGGGATTGATATGTACAATAAAATTGTTTCTAATTTAAATAAAATTTATAAAAATTAATATAAGAATTTTGAAGTTAATAAAGCATTGTACAATCTATCTCTGGAGATCTTTATACACCTGTCTGTTCTTAAGCATATCTTTTAAAGTAAGTTAGATCTTTCTGTAACTGCTTGTCTGGTAGGATGGTGTGGTATATCTGTATTATACTTTCATAGTGAGATATATCCACCCCCTCCACACCCATACCTGTGGCACTCACCATGGAATCATAAGGGCTTTGAGCCACTTTATTCAAACTTTTGAACTTATAACTTGCCTTTCTTGATTTCTATGCATCAATATGGAATGTAGAGGCTCCATAAATTGGTGTTCTTCACACAATGTGAGGAAGAGTCAATTAGTTCTTATAAACTGAAGTTTCTTGATTTCTTAGATTTTTGCTACTAATCTCTAAAAAGAAATTAATGTAAGTTTTTGCCAATGTTCATTATTTTGTCAACAGTGAGGAAATATTAGTAAAAGGTACTACAATTTCTACTGTTAATCGACAAGTCTCAAATTTCTTTGCAGAATCAGTATAGAAACCTTTTCTACAGAGATCTTTAATTTTTTTACTCTGTGGCAAAATATGTGGCAAAAATATCCATTCTAAAATATTACTTTTTTCTGCATAAAAATTCCTATAGGAGAATGCATAGAGGTAGTATGATGAAGATACAATCAATCCCTTGATCCCAGTGATCCACATGTGCATCCTGTAGTTTCTTTTTTACCAAAGCCAATTCTCTCTCAAATCCAACTGATACTTTCCTTAAGTCCTTATCACCTTGTAAAATTTTCAAAAAAGCACTTAGTTCTTGAGATGTCAATCCAGTTGAGGATTGTAGTCAGTTACTGTATCCCAGAAATTGTTGAAAATCATTAAATGTTCATAATTGATCTTTCCAGATTTGGACTTTTTGTGGTAGAACTTTTAATAATCCTATCATATATTCTAGATAATTAATAGACTCTCCTCTTTTTATTTTTTCAGAAGCACTGTATAATCCCGCAAAAGGCAATTTTTCTTTGCTTCTACAAACATTTTTCCCTAAGGTATTTGTATCTGAGTCAGCTAATCAGATATCATTTGTATAGTGCTAAGTCATAGATTGAGGAAACTGTTTATGAATTATTTCCAACACCTGTTGTAAAAAATATTGACACAAGGTAGGGCCATTTAACATCTCTTTGGAAGAACTTCCTGCTAGTATCTTTTAACAGTTTGGAAATTATTATAAGTGACTACTGTGAAGGTAAAGTTTTCTCTGTCTTTTTCTTATAAAGGTATAGTAAAAAAAAAGCAGCTTTTAAAAATTAATCACCATAATAATCCATACTGTATGTAATGTAGAAGGCAAGGGAATTCCAGGCTCTAAAGTACCCATTATCTGAGTCACCTAATTTATGGCTCTTACATCCATTAACATTCTCCATTTTTCAGATTTCTTTCTTTTTGTTTGTTTTTTTTTGTTTTTTGAGACAGGGTTTCTCTGTGTAGCTTTGGAGCCTATCCTAGCACTCACTCTGTAGACCAGGCTGGCCTCAAACTCACAGAGATCCACCTGCCTCTGCCTCTGGAGTGCTGGGATTAAAGGTGTACCACCAGCACCTGGCTCCAGATTTCTTTTTAATGACAAATATAAGAGAATTCCAAGGATCAGCCAATTCTTCAATATGTTGAGCATTTAAATGCTCCTGTTCCACCAACT